CTAGAGTCTCCACCCTTAAAAAATGTGTCCATGACCCCTTCATTCTGGGTAGTGGCCAACCATATGTAAGGGTCATGAAGACTTCTGGTGGTCTTTTTGGTTGTATGTCCATTTCCCACAGCCGCGGTTTCCGCTTCCATTCGATGCGACAGGCAAGGAGTGGGACCAGTTCCTCACGAACCGGCCCCCGCGCAACGAGGCGCGGGGCGACAAAAGATGGTCTCGGCAACTGGATCGCCAGTTGCCTGTTCTCTTTCCATGCGCTTTTCCCCAAAAACCAGCAGTGACTGAAAAAAGCAGCAACTTGGCTATCTAGGGGTTTGAGATGGTTGTTGTTTCTTCCTTTTCTTCTTCGGCTTCTGCTTCTGCTTCTCCTTCATCCTTCCTTCTCCTTCTCCTGCTTCTTCTGCGTCTTCTGCTCGTCCTTCTTCTTCCTCTCTTCTTCTTCTTGGGGGGTCCAATTCCCAGTTTGTTGCGACATGCCAGTAGCATCACATGAAAAGCTTTCACACACTTCTACATTTGCATACACTTCTGATGAGTTTGTTTTTTGGGATCGGCATACACTTGTTGTTTCCTCTTAGGGGAACCGGGGCATCCGGAGCGTTGTTTCGGGATCAGAGTGGTTGTGGATGGACGCGTACTTCTCGAATCAGGTGCCTCTTGCACATGTGGCATGTTTAAAGCTTAGTCCGATGTTCCTGCGTCTTGACCGGGAGTCCAAGCACCCAACTGCAAGTATCTCGAAAACGGCTTGAATGCGCTTTTGGTGGATTTCACCTGTTCTTCCCCCTGTAGCTTCTTTTTGGTACTCTCTTCGTACTCTTCAAACATACCATATCCTACAGGGGTGGTTTTTTACAGATTCGCCACCTCCAACCCGTTTTCCAGCCAAAGGGTTCTGCCTTCCACCAAAAATATATTACCCCCAACTGGGTTTCTCCCAGCAGTTTAGACCCCAGAAATCCGAAAACCGAAGCGTCGCTCTCGAGGACAAAGGGCTGCTCACGCGCCTGGGGTCTCTGGCCGCGTATTTGCTGCCCCTCACGGACGCCTTGCGCTTCGGCCGCTCGCAAGCAGTTGGGGGGGAGGGGGTGGTTGGGAAGATTGCACCAAATGTGGCGCGCGCGTGCGTGGCGTGTAAGAAACGAGATCTCTTTAAATGAAAGAGATCAATTTAGTGAATGAAGCACAAACGCATCCTCTGTTTTGTTTCGATGCAAGAAGTGTACATCTCCATGTTTTCTTTTTTTCCGTTGCTTATGATAGTTAACGTTTCCTAATTTACGAGATACATCAGTGGCGTAGCATCACGCTTTGTAACAAAATAAATCTAGTAGAAAAGAATAACCGACATGGAATGGAGCGAAATGAAAAGGAAACAGTCACGAAATAGAAACGTCATGGAACAAACAATATTTGGAACACATGAAAGCTAATGGAAGCACAATTCCAAATGTAATAACAAGAAATAGCAATGGAAACAAGGCATGACAAGGAATTGGAAAGAAATGGAAAGCACGTGAAAAAGAATGCGAAACGAGCACTTTCTCGGCCCGGCCTGGCCTTGGGCACTTCTAGCTAGGAATGGAAAGCAATGGAAAGCAATGGAAAGGAAGGGATGGACAGGAATGGACAGGAATGGACAAGACAGGGAGAGCAAGTCACAGAAATGGACAGGAGAGGAAATAGGAAAGAAATATAAGCAAAGGAATATAATATAAATTTAATCAAAATAAATATAGAAAGGAATGAAACAAATATGGAACGGAAAGGACATGAAACTGAATCTTAAAGAAATGGAAAGGAACCACGCCGCTTCAACATTATTGACTTGGACAATTGCGAAAGGAGCACTTTTTCGGCCCGGGCTGGTCTTGGGCACTTCTAGCTAGGAATGGAAAGGAATGAAAATGAGTGGAAAGAAAGATGGACAGGATTGAGCCGGATATGGAAGGAACGCAAAGGACATGAAAAGGAATTTCAAAGAAATTAAATTGACACCTGCTGCTTCACCATTATTGACATTGACAATTGCGAAACGGGCACTTTTTCGACCCGGGCTGGCCCTGGGCACTTCTTCTAGCTAAGAATGAAGGGGAATGGAAAGGAGTGGAAAGGAGTGGAAAGGAATAGAAATAAAGTGAAAGAGAAGCAAAGAAATGGAAAGAAATAGCAAGAAAGTGCAAAGAACATGGAAACACAAAGGAATGGAACCGATCATGTTTTCCATTTTTTTAAAAACAAATGAATAAATAAATAAAAAAAAGTAAACGGGAATGGAAAGGAAAGAGAAGGGAGGAAAGTCGTTGAAAAGGAAATGGACACAAATAGAGAAATGGAATAGAAAAGAAACGGAGATGGAAAAGTGCCCAAGGCCAGCCCGGGCCAAATGGCATGAAAGGTAAGGTCTAGCCCATGTCCCAATATTATCCTATCCTAACTCATTCCTATCTCACCGCCGTGATTACTAAGGGAAAGAGGGGTTGCAAGGTAAGGAGATGTCCCTCCGTTCATAATGTTATCTTGCTTTTGTTTAGCTGCAACAGTTATGACTCTGGAATTTCCAAGAAGCATACCAGTAAAAGGACAGGAAAGAGACAGAGAATGAACGCTTTTGGATGCATCTCCCATCTTTGAAGCGCTTACAGTCCTAGCACTAAGATCTTAAGGAATAGAGTTCCTATAAACAAGACACAGCGATGAAACAAGTAAATAATAATAGGTGATATTCATGGCGAGACAAAATACAGCTAGAAAGTCAAATAGATAATACTTGTAAATGTGTCACAAAATGTAAACCAATGTGTGTGATATTCTGGAAGATGCCCCCCACACAGCGGCTTAAGACCGGGATCTGCAGCATATTAAATCTACTTTTGGATATCTTCGTTCGCATTTATAAGGCTTGTGTAGAGGATCTCCTAGTCACCTATCTGTCCTTCCTTCTCCAAATCTCAATTCTTTTTGTTGGCATGAGAAGGATTATGAGAAGGACAGATATAGAGACATAATATTATACATTAGGATTTACTTCTTCCTCAGTCGTAAGGTTGTGGCAGCTAGCGAAGCGATGGATAGCTTGTTTTCATATCAGCTCTTGGGATCTCTTACCTATATCCTGGGTAAAAGAGGAGGAAGAAAGGAACTGCTCATTTTGCAATTTCTTTCAAAAGAGTTCTGAAGAGGCGAGTTTCCAATTCCCTCCCTGTCATTCCTTTCCATGTCCATTCCATGTCAATTCCATTTTAACTTCATTTCTTTCCTTTCTATTCTTAGCTAGAAGTGCCGAAGGCCAGCCCGGGCCAAACACGCGCTCGTTTAATTCCATTTCCTTCCTTTCCATTCCTAGCTAGAAGTGCCGAAGGCCAGCCCGGGCCAAACACGTGCTCGTTTCGCACTTTCCCGTGCCAAGAATTTGGACAGGGCGAGTTTCATGTCCATTTCCTCAAAAAATATACCTATATCTTTCCGTCCCTTTCCATATTCCTTTCACTCCTTTGCATGTGTGTTCCATGTCCATTCCATTTCAAATCCATTTCTTTCTTTCTATTTCGTGTATTTCTGTCTAGTTCTTTTCCTATCCATTTCCTTTCCAATTTTGTTTCCACTTCTTTCCATGTTCTTTCATTTTTTGTGTTTCCATTTCTTTCCATTCCTTTCGCTCGTCTCTAATGAAGTGATCAAGCCGGAAAGGTGGCTTTTTTTGGTGTAAATCTCCCCGAACAGAGGTTGAAGGGGTGAGTTTGTTTTCCCTACTGTTCAGTCCTTTCCATGTCCATTCCATTTTAATTCCACTTTAAGTCCATTTAATTCCTTTCTTGTCCGATCCGTTTCTTTCCGTTTCTTTGCCATTCCTTCCATGTCCTTTGTATATCCGTGTGCTACTCCTGCTTTACGCCCTGAACTACGTGCGGAAGTTCTTCGTGCACACGGGCTTCAAGACTATGATGTATAGTAGAAGCACGAAAACGGCAGGAGTACCAATTTCCTCGCGAGGTGCAGGCGCAATGACTTGGGTCATTCTTTGCAGCCTTGTGATGCCAACAGTTGCAACCGCAGATGCGATGCCATCTGCAGACCATAATTCACGTGAAAAGCACATTGCAGTGATTGAATGGGCAATCTGCCTGTGCTTCTTGCTTGCCTGCATCCATATGCTCCTGCGCACTGCCCGCGCAGTGATAATCCCTGTTGTTTACCGCTTTTGCCACCTCTGTCTTGATGTACTGGGGCAGTGCAGAAGCCTTGTCATTGCCACAGGCGCAATATGCCTGATCTGTGTGAATGCTATGGTGTGTTTTCCCAACCCGTGCCTCGGGGACCTAGCATTCGACATGTTTGTGGGGGGTTTTTCCTTGCATGTGCTGGCGTGCGCATCCTGCAAGCAATCGTTTGCATGACTGTCAGCCGCAATGGTATGTTCTTGTGCGCCATCTTTGTAGGTTTTGCCTTATTTGATGCAGCCCAGGTCAGTGTCGTGCACCACATGTGTAAATGGTATCATAAATACCAATGCCAGACACGAACCATCATTCAGTGCAGGTTTGTTGGTCGCATGCATGTTCCGATGCGCAGGCGTAAGCGAAGGTGGAGACGCGTTGCATGTGAGCCGCCACCTGGCGGTGATTGGTGTGAAAGCCATCATCCCGCACCCCATGAGCTGGAAGCACTGTGGCATGGTGACTTCCGCGGAGGCCACGGTGGTGCATCTGCTGCCACAAAGCGGCGCAGAGATGAGCGTGAATTACTCGAAGGCCTGAAGACACTACTGGAAGCGTTTGCTGTCCCCCTTAGTGAAGGCGGCAATCAGCCTGCCACCCGTGCTTCAGCCAAGGCCGGCCAACAAGAAACGTTACTTGGTGCACTCAAAAAGATCGTTGAGCGAGCCGAAAGGACCCCAAGCGGTCTTCTTGCAAGCCTGAAAGTGCTATGTGACGATGCCAGCAAGGGTCGGTACGCCGACTGTGATGACGAGCCTGCCAATCCAGGTCGCAAAAACCGAGCTGTGCATTTCCAGGATAACCCCGAAGACCAAAGCTGGACATGGTCATCGTGGAATGACCAGCCAAAACAGCAAGGCCGCACTAGCCCCAGTTGGTCACAAGTCGCCAGTGGGGCGGCCCGTCCTGCAAAGCAAGTGCCAATTAAGCGTGACAAACCTGTGCAATCTGCCAGCCCGTACCGCCTGTGGTCACCGCCGGTCCAGCCAAACCTAGCTGGATCCGTCACAGCCGTACGCAAGCAACTCGAGGCAGGGCATGAGCCAGTATGCCAGCTGGTTATGTGCACCCGAGCTACGTGCCCTACTCCAAGCTCATGATTATGCTGATAAAGTAAAAATTGGAGCAGTGCTTGTCGGCGAAGACGTGCCCCAGGACATCCCCGAAATGTGGGTCCATGTCCAAAAGAAGAGCGGAGGTCCGGAAGCCCGCAAGATGCAAATTCTTGCCCTCGGCAAGCACCTCCCTGACCTTCCTAAATGCCAAGTCTCAAAAGTGACCATGCCCAAAGCCAACGCCGAGGACACTGTGGTTCTTAGAGTCACAATGCCAGCGTGCTTTTGCACTGACAACTGGAAACAGGCCTCAAGTAAGCCTGCTAACCTCGTCTCCGCCATCCTAAGAGACAATAAACTGCAGGGCAAATGCAGTGCTGCAGCTTTCAGGCAAGGACGGTGTGTTCATCGAGCCACTGGCAAAGCATCGCAAGTCGAATGGGTGCCACAGGAGAATGGAGAGGACGACATGACTTATTATCTCCGTCTCCTGGTCAACCGGCGCCTTGACCACATGGCTCACGGACAACAAATGGAGCGATGTCGAACTTGTAGCCCAGCCAGCCAGACAACGGGGATGGCTCTTCCACGAGGATGCCCTGTGTTACGCCTATGAAAGTGACGATGGTGGTCACATTGGGATCTCCCAGTACTTCCATCATGCCAAGACATCAAAGCAAACGCCTATCCGTGCCGCCGGAAGGTCACTTGACCAGACTGCAACAAGCAAGTCAATCTGGCACTCTGCCAATGGCCCAAATGGACGCACCAGTTGCCATAAGAAGCCAGCTGACGCTCCGAGCCCGCCAGCAAACCAACATAAGGGCGGTGAGCTGACCAACGCAGGTGATGACGATGATGACGCCCACATGACTGAGGCCGGGGAAGCTGGTCAAAAACGAAGTGAGACATCACATACGAAACTGACTCCCGCAAAGAAGAAGGCTAAAGCCGACCATGACGAATCCGACAAATCCACCTCTGCCTTCAGAGGCTATGACATCCTCGACCTTGGAGGCAATGGCGACTGCGCATACAGATGTGCGGCAGTTGCATACGCACTGCAAACCAGTCGCCCCCAACAGGAGGCCGTCTCCGCTGCCAAAACTCTTGGGGCGACGCTCCGCGGCCAGGTTGCTGCGCATCTCCGCAAGTACCACAACTTTCGTGACTCGTTTGATGTCGACGGCGGCGATGTCCCTACATCCTACGAGGAATGGCTCGAAGCCACTTCCAGACCTACTCGATGGGTCGATGGGCCATGTCTCAGTACCATAGCCACAAAGCTTGGCCGAGATCTTGTGATCTTCCGATGGGTCAACGACAAATGGCAGAAACAGATCGTCATCAGCCCTCTCGAAGCGCACCCGGCAAGTGTCAACCAGGCACTGAGCCATCCCCCTCTCCCTCTTCTCTTGAAGGATGGACACTATGTCACTCTGCGCCCTGGTGCTGAGCCTTTCCCTGCCTCTTGGAAATCACTGCCTGTTGACTCCCAATGGGATGCAGGGGTGGCGTAAAGTCAATGCGCAGCTGGCTGCCTGCCAGCTCTGCTGGCTCATGTGATGACCAACGCCCTGCAACCACCAAACCGGACCAGAAGTCATACCGCAGTTGGCTCCCGGCCAGCTCGTCGTGTTCTTCTGCTCGCAAGAGCCAGCAATGCAAAGCGAAGCCCAAACCAGCTGCCAAGTCTTACAAAAGTTGGCTGCCGGCAAGCTCCGCTGCTCCGTCTCGACCTGCATCGCGGAAGCAGCAAGAAGTCCTCAACTTGAATGCCCATGAGCCCACGCAAGCGCGCAAGGGCCGACCTCCAAAGAACTGCAAAGTCAAACGACCTGATCGGGCTACCGCGCTAAAGATCATACAAGCGCGCCCCGCTTCATGGAAGTGCCCGGCTTGCGGTACTGCCTTCAACGGTACATATGGGTCGGTAATAAGCTCAAAGCACTACCACTGGCGAACTCGCCATGCAGATCTTCCCAAGACTCTCATCATGCAAGGCCCTGCTGACATTTACAAGGTCGCCTACAACCTGCCAGAGGAACAGCAGGACTGGAGCTGTCCTCTATGTCCTGCGGCTCTGCCAACAATGCCCAGGCAAGACCGCCTGCGCGCCATCCGTGAGCACATTGCCGAACGCCATAAAGGGCACTCTCCCCGATCTCTGTGGCACTTGCAAGCGCACAAGGTCAAAAAGCCTGGAGTTCGCGCAATGCAGAAAGAGAAATTTGCCAAGCTCCGCAGTCGCAGGCGCAAAACACATGACGTGGTTGAAGTCATTCCCACCGAGCGCATCGCCCAAGGTGCTGATGTATGGCGAGGAAACTGCTACTACTGCAGGCGATGCTTGTGCCATCTTGGCAAGAACCCTGAAAGCAAGAAAACTTGTGCCAGGCGACGAAAAGACTTCGCCCAGAACCCAGTCACGGCTGCCATGCGGCGCCGCTGGTGGAAGGCTCTTAAAAAGAAGGAGCCCCAACACGCCAAAAATTATGCCGAGGCGATGCGCCGTACCACGGCTGAGCTCGATCAGTACTACGGTGTCACTGCCTGAAGTGCCGCCTGGGCTACGCAACCCCGCGTAGGCCCAGGCACGTGGCAACCCGACATCACCATTCATGGCGACATACACCCGAACCCAGGACCAAAAGAGCTGACAATCTCCATTTGGAGTTGCACTTGCACTTGCAAATGATCATGATGTATCCGTAATCGCCATACAAGATGACGAGCTCATGCCCTCTGAACGTGACAGCTTTTACAGACACGTTTCCCCGCCATAACTATCGTGTCTATGCCGGCAATAGCATTGAGCGAGGTAAGCAAGCTTACGGTGGTGCCATTCTTTTGGTGCATACTAGCCTACGCTCATGCCAGCACAGCGTCCTCTCAGCAACAGAAGCCCAGTGTGCCACTGCAATCATCGAAAATATTGCAGTAAGTTCTATGTACCAACCGCCCACGCAGGCGCGCCTACCACTTGCCACACATCTCCACGAAGTCCAGCTCCTTCTGCCTCGTGGTATGGACTGGCGCGGCGTGGGCGACCGCAACGACACGCCCGACGAACATGTGCTCATGCAGCATGACGTGGCGCCTAGTTTGTCGTGCGTTACCGCCACCAACGCGGACAGCTTGCCAGCCTCCACACGGTGGGAGGGTACTCGATGTATAAATTATGTCATAACTAGCGGTGCCCCTCTTATTAAGCAAGTTGAGCTTCTTGAAGAGGCTATAGCCGACCATAAAATAATTAGCGCTTGCATTACCTTGCAGTGTTGCAAGGCGGACCAGACCGCCCCTACCGCCTGCTGAAAACCTCAAAACGGCAAAAACCTGATGCCGTCCCCACTAGCCAGTGGCGCGCCTACTGCGATGACTTCGCCCGCGTGCAGACACCTCCTGCCGTGCCTGCCCAGGTTGACCAAAGTGTAGTTGACTTGCTGTGGGCCGATATCAGTCACTATTACGAACAGATGCTTGTGTACGCACTCCACTGCAGCCAAAACGGCCAAGCGGCGCGGCAACGCAACGCCCTGCCCCGTAAAGGCCAAGTCAAAATCAAAAATCACTTGCCCCAAAGCGGACAACTTGATCGTGCGAATGACTCATACCGCATCCGCAACCTGCGCAACTTCGTTGCCAAAGCGCGGGAAGCCCAAAAACTCCGCAAAGCACGACGCACTGATTGTGCGGAATACCGACACTTGATTTGCAAGTTACGACAATCCCACCACTACCGATCTCACCTTGACTGGGCGGACCAGATCAAATATGCTGAAAAAGAGCTTGCCCAAGCAAGGCTGAACCAACGCGACAGCCGCATCCAGGACTGGAAACATCGCATGCAGACATCCGTCAGCGCTTGCTACAAATGGATCAAGCATGCCAGTTTCATGCCTAGCCGCGGCCTCATCTCCTCTGCGCTGCAAATAGATGAAGCCACACGCACTACTACCGAAGCCTTGGAACTGATTCGTGACCACTGGCGTCTGGTTTGGCGCCGTCCCGAGGCTGACCCCGCTCCGGCCTACGCGGCCATAAACGCTGAACTCCGTCAACAACGGCTACCCCCACGTGGGCAAGAATGGCAGCCATTGACTGCCGCTGCCCTTGCCAAGCGCGCAGCTAAGCTCAAAGCCAAAGCTGCAGGCGCAGACGGATGGTCAGGTAGTGAGATCGCTACTATACCAGCAGGTCACTTCGGCCTGTTTGCCGAATTCTGCCAGGCGTGCGAGCAGCACGGCTTTATTCCTCAGCAATGGGGTCTGGCCATACAAGCACACCTGCCCAAAAGCCAGAAGGGTGTGCGTGCACATGATGGCCCGTGACGCCAATGGCCTCCGGCCACTCACTCTCTACTCAGGGTGGTACCGCCTCTGGTCGTCGGTTCGCCTCAAATCCACCTGCGCCCAGCAGTGGATTGACTCATGGTGGCACCCCGCTGCGGTGGGGGGCAAGAAGGGTAAGGAGATATATCAC